AAAAAATAATAATCAAAGAATCAAAAAATTCCCCATGAATGAAGCTTATCAGCAAAATTCAAAGGAGAAAATAAAAAATGTAATAAAAGAAAGGTAAAATTATAGAAATTGCCCATAAGGAACTGAAAAACAAAAATAAATAGTCTGGGGGCCGGCGCTGGAGAGATGGCTAAGCAGTTAACAGCACTGGCTGCTCTTCCAGAGGACCAGGATCTGATTCCCAGCACCCACATGGCAGCTCACAGCTGTCTGTAACTCCAGTCCTAGGGGATCCAATGCCCTCTTCTGGCATCATGCTCGTGGTGTACTTTCATTCATACAGCCAGAACACTCGTACATAATAAAGGTTCACATTTTTAAACAAAAAAAAATAGAGCCTAGCGAACAAAGAGGGCAGCTATGGGGCTTTGGTGAAAGATCTAGCATGTGTGTTGTTAAACTCTCAAAAAGAAAGGGAATGGGGCTGAAAAAATGGAGAGTAAACAAAAACAAAAAAAGCAAAACAAAAAATTACAAGTCCAAGAAGCCAAATAAGCTTCAAATATAATAAAGCTGAACAAATCTATTCTAAGATACATCAAAATTAAACTTTCAAAAACTAAAATCAAAGAAAAAACTTGACAGTGTTGAAATAATGACACTTCTCATACAAGGAAAGCCCCATGATTGACAGATTTCTCATCACAAACCACTGGAAGAAGTTGCAAGTTTTTCAAATGCTATTCAAAAAGAACTATCAATTTGTGATTTTATATCCATAAAAAGTATTCTTTGGGAATGAAGAAAAATCAGTACGTTCTCTGAGTTATCACAGATCTTTAAGTAAAACTTTTTTCAAGATAACTATTTTATTAGCACCTCTGTAGAACCTACTGGTAGCTATTTTATTAGTACCACTGTCTAACCAACTGATAGCTAAATGGTCAGTAGGGCAACTATTTTATAATGGAGATGGTGAGAGGATTTGATGAGAGGAAAGGCTAGGTGTGGTTATAAGGGAGCTGTACGAAAAAGATCTTTGCAGTGAGGAAATGATTTCATGTCTGATTGTGGTGTTGGTTACGTGTGACAAAATGACAGGATCTCCCAGGAACCCTGTGGAAGAGGAGACAGAGTGTAAGAGCCAGAGGGGATGGAGGACAGGGAGAAAACAGACCCTCTAAATCAACATGAGCAAAGTCCACATGAACTCACAGAGACTGAAGCAGCACACAGCCTGCATGGGTCTGCACCGGCTCCTCTGCATGCTTGACTTGCAAGTTTAGTGCTTTTATGGGATTCCTGGGTGTGGGAATGAGCAGGCCTCTGACTCTCCTGCCTTCCGTTGGACTCTTTTCCTTCTGTTGGTTTGTCTTGTCCAACTTCAATCTGATAGTTTTGTTTTATTACATATTATATTATTTATTATATACTTTATATATACTTATTGTATATTACTTTATATAAATATATATTTGTATATTTTATATATTATATATTTTGCTATTTACAATATACTTATATTTATATATACTTACTTTTTTATATCTTAAAATTAATGAGTGAATGAATGAATGAATGAATGAATACCTAGACACTGGTAATGGTTAACAATTAAACTGTCATTTATACTTGCTGGGAAAAGAAAATCAGTTTTCTCCAATGGAGTAGCACTGGGTATATCAACCACTCCAAGGAAGGCCTCATATTCAGGAGCAGTTGACCAATGTGTAATAGACTCCACAGTGTGTGTGTGTGTGTGTGTGTGTGTGTGTGTGTGTGTGTGTGTGTGTGTGTGTGCTTTTATTTGGTTATGATTTTTTTATTTCTTTTCAGTAGTGTTTTATTTCGGTTGTTATATTGGGGTTTTGCCTGTTCTTTGAAAAAGACTTTAAAGTTGGGTAAGTAGGAAAAGAGAAAAGGTCTGGAAGAACTTAGGGAAGGGAAGAATAGGTCAAAATATATTTAAAATTGTTCTAAATTTAAAAAAATAACAAGAGCTCTTCATGTGCATTTTACTGATATCAACTTCTGGTGTGGTATCTGGTGTGATCTTAGGGAAAAGTAAATGAAAATCAGACAGGCATTCTCTGTACCATGCTCGCAGTTCCCAGGAGGTATGCAATGGCTCAAACTGAGAGGCTAATCTTGGGAAAAGAAACACTATGGAACCTCTGCACAGAGCAACCCTAATAAATAAAAGCAAAATGAAACCTACAAATCCAGCCGTGTAGAAAACTTACTGTCACGACCAACATAGAAGACAACCTGACGTGACTTTAAGGCACAGTGGTTTGACACTACAGCCTAAGGAGGACAAGACCTACAAACAGCAAAAGAAAGCAATCTTAGGCCCTGTCCAGTAATCTTACTATGAATAATCTTTCTGTTATTGTGAAATTGATGTGTCTGTTGTGAGCTCTGTCCAGAATAAAGCAAGCGTGTCAGTATTGCTAAATCCAGGTTTGGGGGTATATGCGTATATATGTTGTATGTATGCATGCTTTTGTGCACATATGTATGTGTGTGTGTGTGTGATATGTATGTACATGCATGCACTCACAGAAAGAGCTTGTGTGTGTGTGTGTGTGTGTGTGTGTTGGATGTCTGTCTGAAAAAAAGGAGATAGAACAAAGATAGTTAAGTACAAACTATTTAAAATTGAATTAGCTAGGAAATAGTATAATTTCACAACATATTTCACTTAAAAATATCAGATTGCCTAGCTATGCTGCCTGGAAAGCCGGAGAAGCAATGATAAACCCAGAAGCTGTGAACACCATAGATGGTAGCTTCTAAACATCTACAAAAACAAGAATCCAGGGCTCCTAGAGTAGCAGTCCCAAGTAGGTCTAAGGCAGGAAGTATACAAAGTGAGCCTGCATCGAGTTGTTCTGGTATTGGGATGGCAAGGAAGCCATCAGAAGGAACTGGGGCTGTTTCCAAAGCCCTGCTGGCTGAAGGAAGAGCCACATAAGCACCAATCAGAATAACAACTGCCATGGTTTAAAGTGCAACAAACGTGTTTAAGTCCAAGTTCATGGTAGCATTTAAAATAACTGCATTGATCAGCTTTGGACAATACCAAGGAACCAACACATTATTTTGAAAACTGGTAAATACAGGGGAAATGTCATTTATCTCATGTCAGCTGTACCTCATGATAACCAAGTTTTAACGAGAGGATGTTTTTCTTTACAGAAGCTGTAGAGATAATAAATGAAGAAACAATGATCAGACATCACATTTGGTTTTTTTTTTTTTGGTTTTTCTTTTTTTGCAACTCTTAATGGGGTAAGAATCTAGATGATTATTATCAAGGGCTGCTAACATGAATAGAGGGAAAATAACCAGAGTGTAAGAGTGTCCTGATGAGAGAGAGAGAGAGAGAGAGAGAGAGAGAGAGAGAGAGAGAGAGAGAGAGAGATGAACGCCTGAATAAGACTCTAGACCTAATTACCAATTCACAGGAATAACACCATGGGGATGCAATCAGCAAATCCGAGCTCTGGGAAACCCTACAGTGCAAACAACCTAGTTTCTTCAACAAATAACATACAAGGGAGAGAGAGTGTGTGTGTGTGTCAGAGAAAAGCCTGCAAATTTCTATGAGGCACATCAACCAGTTGCAATGTAGGAATCCTATTTGGAGCCTGGTTTACACTAGATGTAGCAGGAGAAATAAATGCCGACTGCTTGATTTCATGGTGGTTATGAGATGGGTTGGTCATTTCCTTTATCTTTCCAGGCAAAGCCTTATCGTGTATCCCAGGCTGGCCTCCAACTTGTCTTAGCTTCCTAACTACTGTGATTACAGGCATGTCCCACTGCACCTAACTGATTTGACATTTTTAGTTCATAGTATTTATACATGAAATAATGTGCTGTCCCAGATCTACTTCAAAGTCATCCAGAGTCGGGGAGAAAGGTGACAGCTAAGCATGAGTGTAACGATTGGCCGTAAGTGACTGCTGTGGAACTTGGTCATGAGGATTTCAATTTTCTCTGCCATTATCCAACGTTTACATGAACACGAAACTTCAAAACAGAAGTTTGTTAAAAATACTCATACAGAGCCAGGAGTGGTGGCATATGCCTTTAATCCCAGCACCTGAGAGGTAGAGGCAAGAGAACCAAATTTGTTTGGGCTCAATAGCAAGTATGAGGTCAGCCTAGGCTATGTGAGACCCTACTAAACATAGGGGAAAAACAACAAACCAGAGGCTAAGGAGATGGATTGGTCGGTAAGGTATTTACTATAAAAGCACAGAATCTGAGTTCAATCCTCATAACCCATGTAAATGCACACATTTTTAATCCCAGTGCAGGGAAGGAAAAAATAGGCAGATCCCTGGGACTCACTAGCTGGCCAGCTGAGCTCAATAGCAAGCTCTGGGTAAAAGTGAGAGAATCTGACTCAAAACACAAGATAAAGAGCAACTAATTAAAGAAGATACTTGCATACACACATGTACCCACACACACACACATCCCATGCACACACACAGGAATGGGTATACACACATGTGTACATGCACACAAAATTACATTTTTAAATAAGTATGACCACAGAAAACTGCATTTCTAGAGCTAGCTGCCCCCCTATTCTATACCAGTGTGTTTTTATTCTATTCCAAGAAGCCAAGATTGCAATCATGGTCATGACAGCAATAATATCCAACATTTTAGAGCATACACATATTGAGTTGTTTATAGATATTGTCATTTAATCCCGATAAACTCTGTGTAGTAAATACTGAGATTATCCATACTTCACAGATGACAAGCCTCGGGGACAGAGTTCTGATGACAAAACTAAGCCTTATTCCCACAGGTAAGCACATCTGCAAATTCTAGCCAGCACCCAAGGGTGAAAAAGGAAAACTGCTTTCACTGGACTCTTCGAGATAAACACCTCACCCATCTTGTGACCCCCCACCCTACCCAGCTGTGTGGACTCCCAGACACAGCAGGACTTTTTCCTCCAAACTCATGCTGGCCCCAGCAGTGGCCTGGCTCACCTGGGCCTCGGTGCCTCTTCTCCATCCAGATGTAGCAATTGTTCTGCGCCACCCCAGTCTGGGAGTCCAGGAAGGGGAGACGCACACTCCGCTCTGCACACAGCCGTGAATTGTAGCTCCGGCAATGTTCAATGGCTTCCTTGTAGAACTGGTCCCCAAGCCTACAGGAGACAAGATAGCAAAGGTATGAGACCAGGGAAAGTAGAAACACCACCAGAGGGAAGCGGTCCCTACCATCTCCCCAGGAAGAAGCCACATTTATGGCAACCAAGCCAATGAACACCAGGAGCCCCATTTGTCATCAACTCTCTACCAGATTCCATTTCCTGTCCCAAATCTGCCAAGTCACTTAGAAACTCCTTTATAATAAACCCCAAAGAGCAAACCAGCCGTAAAGGTGACCGACCCTGCCCTGGGACGCTGAGATGTGTCCGGCCCCTGGAGATGGCTCCATAGCAGTGTTCTGCATAGGACTCACACAACATCCAGCTGCCAGAGGCCTCTCTTTGAGCACCCCCACACTTGGTTCTCAGAAGTTGCCAAAACACACAGGATAAACCAAGACTACAAGGGCAGAGGAGATATCCTCTAGCAGTTCAGCCACTCATTGTAAGAAGCAAGGACATACAAGGATCTTCTAAACCCACAGTTAAAGAAAAAGAACTTTCTCTGATCAAAATCAAGCAAGAGAAGTATTTATAATGTCTGGCACCACCCCCACACCCCTACACTCCCCACACGCCCAGACCCCCCACATCCCCACTTAGAAATTACTGAGGGATACTACAGAAGGCAGAGCCCCCGCAGGGAGCCCACTAGGCTCCAGGGTGTAGTCCCACACCCATGGTCGCACAGTCCTGCTTAAACACAGCAGGACATAAAACAAAAAGACCGTGATTGCGAGACAGGGACTGTATGGAAGAGGGGAGGTTGAGGCAGGTGGGTGAGCTATAAGAGAGGCAGGGGTAGTCATCTGAATGCTTTATGTGTATAGACTTTCCACAGAATTAATTTGATTAATAGAAATTAGAACAGTGAGGCTGGAGAGAAGGCTCAGTTGGTCTTCCAGGGGACCTGAGTTTGGTTCCCAGCATCCAGTCATGCAGCTCACAACCACCTGTAACTCCAGCTCCAGGATATTTAATGTCCTTTTCTGACCTCCACGTGCAGGCACCCGTATGTAGCATTTATACACACACACACACACACACACACACGAGAGAGAGAGAGAGAGAGAGAGAGAGAGAGAGAGAGAGAGAGAGAGAGAGATGTTTTTAATCAGGTCAAAATTAACAATAATTGAACTCAGAACAATTCAATGAAGATACAAACAGAAAATCATCCTGGTTTGCAGGGTGGTGATCCAATTTAAACAGAATCGATCAGTGAATCAAGTATTTCATATAATTTGGATCTTTTGAGGCCAGCACAATGCATATTATGGCATTCTAGGTTCATCCATGCTGTAATACATGTCAGGATGTCCTTCTATTTTAGACTATATTATATTCCACACTTTGTCTATCAGTTCATCAGTCAGTGGATACCCGGATTGCTTTCATGCTCTAGTCACCGTGAATATGATAACTACACTCTCTCTAGGAAATACATCATAATACCTTGCAGACATGGAGGCATAAATATCAAGTCTCTACTTTCAATTATTGTAAGTTCAGACCTAAGAGTGGGTTTGGTGATCCATATAGAAATTCTGCTTTTCTCTCTCTCTCTCTCTCTCTCTCTCTCTCTCTCTCTCTCTCTCTCTCTCTCTCTCTCTCTCTCTCTCTCTCTCTCTCTCCCTCTCTCTCTCTCTCTCTCTCTCTCTTTCTGCTCAGCCATTTCACAGTCCTACCAGCATTGCACAGGTTCTAATCACAGCACATTCCACTACTGTTTGCTACACCAGCAAGGTTTTAAGCAGGCTTCCCCATTCTTTTTTTTTAACCCAATAGGTCAGATTCTGCTAACGATCTCCTATCTTTATGCTGGTTATTATTATTCTTTATATTACTGGTGTGTGAGTGTGGGGGTAGGGTATGTGTGTGAAGGTCAGAGGGCAACTGTGCAGATACAGCTCTGTCCTTCCATCAAGGATGGAACTGAGGTCCTAAGCCTTGGTCAGAAAGCACCTTTGGCAAGCCTCTCACTAGCCTCCTACCAAAGGGTTTAAAGCAAACGTCTGACAGTTGGAGAATACAGTCATAGGAGGTTCGTCTGCAATTTAATTGTTGACACGTCTCTGAGAAACAAGCAATGCCCCCTCCATCCTTCCCCCCACACCCTCTCTTCACCTCTGAAGACCCTCATATTCACACAGAAGGCAACCCACCAGTAACAAAACCAAACTGCCATAAAATCCTAATAACTGCGCAGCAGGAATGAGCTGGGGAGGGGAGTTGAAAGCCCATTAAAATGCTATAAAATGGACCGGCACATAATCTGATGTAATCAAAGATACTAACAAGGACCATGAGATTGATCAAAAATGAAGACCATTTTCGACAAAGCATTTGCCTATGTCACACCAACTTGAATGGGTCCCCCTACTAAGGCAATGTGTCTCAGAGGGATAGAACCATTCATAGACACAGCCAGTCCAGGGTCTCCAGCAGCAACTGCCTATGTCATATTGGTGGGAACTATCAGAATACAAGAGAGAGAGGTTTCCCATAGTCTGTTGTTTTGTTTTAGTCAGGATCTTACTATGTAGTCTACGTTCCTGCCTCAGCTCGCAAGGGCCAAGATAATGGGGTGTGCACTACCATTGACCCAAAATTCACCCATGATCTTTTTTTTAAAAAATTGAAAGATGCTAACTAGTTCAACCTAAGAAATTCTGGTTAAGGGGAAAAAAATTTAAAAATCAATATAAAATTGTGTCAAAAGAAAATGGAGGATAGGGTAAAATTCATTTCCAAGAGGAAACAGGATTTTTCTTCCAGATAGACGTCTGGAAGCCGGTACCAAAGAAATCCACAGTAAGATTTCAAGGCAAATTTCCATGCCATGTTCCTCGCTTCCAACAGCTTTGGCCCACATAAGAGGAGCAAGAAAGTAAACTGACTAAGAGTGAGCTGTGATGTGGTCCGACCTCTGCGCCTCATGCCAAATGAAGGAGAAAAGCCAAACAAGGCTGCGACACAGCGACTTCGGAGCCATCTCTGAATGTGCAGTGTCAGGATAGGTATGCTGGGAAAACGCGTGTTTTCAAAGGTGCAATCTTCGTGTGAATGAAGCTTCTTACATATATTAACTACTGTGCAGTGCTGGAGCTCCTGCCTGCCGCCTTTACATGGGTCCCAGGGATTGAACTCAGACAGTTGGGCTTGCACAGCAAGCGCCTCTGGCCCACTGTGTTAAAACTGGAGCCTCACAAAGTGACAACCCATGCCATCTATCCCCAGGGGAGTCACTTTTAAACAAACCGGTGCCGGCAGCGGAAAACAGAAGTTAAAAGCCATTTTTGAAGATATGGGAAGAAGAAAAAAAGACTTCAACCTCCTGGATAAGTTTAAGTGGCACTTCTCTGAAAGTTAATTAGCCAAAATCTTCACGGGGCTTTCTACACACTCTAAAAGAAAATCGATGGCCAGGTCTCCCAAACCCATGGAAAGCAATTTAAACAGAAGAGAAGACAAATGTCCTTTCCAATATGGCATTAAAAAATAAATAAATAAATAATGTCCCACAAGGAAAGGCTCCCATGGGTGACATTTGCATTAAAGCCATGGGGGGGGGGGGATATGGGACTCGGGCAGAAGGAGCAGGGACAGACTGGCAGTATATGAGTCATTTTATGGAGTTGTGACCAGTGCGCCCCAGGCAGGGAGCAGGCATGGACCAACCTCAGCCATCACCTGTCTATACAGACCATGGGGGCTAGATTACCAGGGCATGATTGATGTCTTGAGCTGAAGGAAGCTGGCACCAGGCTGGTTAGAGTGATGTCCTCATCAAGAATTGACCCCAGGCCACTAAAGGCTGCAATCAGCAACAGAAAGGCAAAAAGTTGCTGGCCTCTGAAAAGTCTTCCAGTCTGGGATAGCAGCCGCCTGGTCCTAGCGGGCTTTGTAAGGAGTGGGAGGTCCCTTAATGGTCCCAAATGGACAGAGGGGTCCAGTCTAGCTCTGAGAACTGGATATTCCTCTCAGGAGATTCCCAAGGACCTTTCTTGAGCACCTCTGTGGGGAGATGAATTCCAGGGCCTGAAGGGCCCTCTGCTCTTCTTCCAACTTCCTAGTCTAGAGAACCTGCTGGCTGGCTCAACTTCCTGTCTACCTTGAGCTAATGCTCAGGCCCAACCCCGTAATCAGACACTTGTCTTTACTGTCCCACAGGCTCTGTACTCATAACTAAGGGCATGTGTCACTCCATACTTCGAAACACGTACCCATCCAGAGATGATGGAACACGCCTACAACCCGAGCATCTGTGAAGTGGAAGTGAAAGAATCGCAAGTTCGAGGCCATCCTGAACTGTGTAACCAGTCTCTGTCCAGTAGGGGGAGAGGGAGTGTCCCAAAGCAAATCCTCCTCTCAAGCCAGGAGCCTCTCTCCTCCCCAGCTTTCACTCTTGGGGGGGGAGGGTCACTGCTCCCCTCCCACATAGCAATTGGCCCAAGGTCCTCCCTTTGCCCTCACTCCATCTGGCACTGGGTTCTGTCACTTTTCAGAGTTCTTGTCTCTTCACTCATACTACGTGACCACAAGTCCCCTGATGCTGTTACAGCAGGACCTTGGCCTACCATTTGTGTCTGTAAACAGAGATAAGCAGTCCGGGCCAGTGATATTTCTGATCCCCTCTTCCCTCCTACTGCCACCTTCTGCAGTGCCTCTGCCTGGCACCCCAGCAGCCCACAGACACACCCCACACACACATACACACATACACACACACACACACACACACACACACACGCATGCACGCACGCACGCTAAACTCATCTCCAGAGCATTAATGCCCAGCTCTCTGCATTTTAGCATGTGTAACGGTGGTGTGGGAAGCTGTGCGCTCACTTAGCTTGGAATAAGTCCTCGAAAGCTACAGGCAGTTTTTCCACAAGGTAAAGGAACCGCTTTACTTCCCTTGATGTTGTACTGTTCTTAGAGTGGCCCTTGAAAGAAAAGCTAGCTTAGTGATAGACTGAGTTGTGCCACCCCAC